TGGGACCGGAACACACGTCGACGCTAGACACGGTCAACAACCTCGGCCTTCTCTGTGCAGATCAGGGCCGGCTCAGCGACGCCAAAGCCATGTACAAGCGGGCACTTCGAGGCTACGAGAAGGCGCTGGGACCGGAAGACGTCAATCTCTATATTCCGGCCCTCAATACGATCCAGAGCCTCGCCAAACTATATACTCAGTTGGGCAACCTTTCCGAAGCTAGGGTATTGTATCTACGTTGTCAAGGCGGGAGTTAAAGCTGTGTTTGGCGTTCAGCACGAACGATACCAGGACGTGGCTCGGGACTTAGCGTCATTAGATTAGCATCACAACTAGCCCTATGTTCTGAATCCATGATGATCGGTTGTGCATGTAAGTGCAAATCATTGTCTCAAGCTTGCAATCATTCCCCAGACCTAGCCCTGTACCGTAAACCCCTGACCAAAGCCCGTGACACTTTTAGGACATGTACCTTAGCCCTTCCTCCTTTCCTTCTTCATACTTGTTGTCTTTAGTCAATAGAGATAGCTGCTTGCGGCTCCGTCCCTCTTGGGCAGTGCCTCGCCATGACATTAGGTACGTACCTTTCTGCCATTAGGTACGTACCTTTTCTGCCCATTAGCTACGTACCCTTTCTGTCAGTTAGGTACGTACCTTTTCTGCCAGTTAGGTACGTACCTTTTCTGCCAGTTAGGTATGTACCTTTTCTGCCAATCAATGAAAGTGCTAACGTAGCTTGGCTCAAACCACGGGCAGCGGAGACGCAACTCAGGGCGTTCTCTAGAGCTATTGTCTATTTCAAGCGTGGGGACCTTCCTCAATCAACGAGCGTGGCGGAAGCGGAAGCCCATATCACCACCGCACAAGATCGATTCTGGAAGCGGGCCATCAAACTCTGGACGGGCATTCACACACTGCCAGACATCACCCCTTCCCGGTGAAGGAACATCGGGGGCCGCGCGCGCAGGCGGTCGGGCATCGCAAAAATTGGAAGACAGGTCCTTTGTGACCTGGTCTTTCATTTCCAGAGGGTTGCAGCTCCGCGCAGCTACTGCGCGGCCTGTTGGCGGCCGAAGACGTCGATTTCGAGGATCAGAAGTGAGGTTTCTGAGCGCCCGGAAATCCCTCACCACCCCGCCCGACAACCGCGACTTAGCGACACCGACGACAAGAACAAGCTGCAACAAACTTTGCAAGATCAGGGGGATACTGGGTACGAAACCTACCCGACTCTTTCGACGTTCTGAAGAAGAGACAGGGCACCCCCGGCCCTGCCCAGTTCTGGGAGAGCGAAGTCAAGAGTCTTGGCGGCAAAACCGACCGGTGAGACGACGCTACGAGGACTGGAGCGAAAGCTGCTGTACGACTCCGATTGCAAGAGTTGTTAATCGACCGAGGAGAAGGAAGGTGACGGGTTCGTTAAGGGGAGGCACACGGGCGGCCGGCCTTCCTGCGAGGCGCTTCGCCCTCTTGACAAACAGCACACTACAAAAGGAGGAACTACAATAGTGGATCAGGGCAGGTTAGTGGCAGTGCGATGGAGGGAGCTGCGCCGGTGTGGCAGCTTTTTTCGACGGCCTGCTGCAAGACACGGTCGGCACTGCGGCTTCGGCCTCGTGGGGAGACCCTCGCGGTGCAACGGGAAGCTGGAAGTCGGGGTTGCGCCCGGCGGCAGGTGGGCCGTGGCGGCTATGCTGGACCGAGGGGAGGGCAGTAGAGTTGCGGTCCCGGCTCGCACCCGGGCCACAGGAGCGAAACAGCTGTTGCCTCGGCGGGGGACCTGTTGGACTGTACGCGTGGCTAGGCTACGTCCCCTTGTTTCCGGGCGCAGGTTACAGTATGGGATGAAGCCGCGGATGGATTGCACCGGGTATGGGTGCCTCGGCTGTGGAACAAATGTGTGGTGTTGCCGCCGCAAGGAAGCTGTAGTTCCGAGGAGCAGTGTAGCTGGCCGGAGAGGACGGACGCGCGTGTCGGTTTTCCAAGAGAGAGGGGGCTTTGCAGATGCCAAGTACCCGGCTCGCACCCGGGCCCCAGCCCTGCGCAGGCTGCTGTGGTGTCGCCTACGAAGCTCTGTAAGGTTTTGCCTCTTGCGGAGGGCTTAAGGTGCAAACCTTAGGGTCCCGTGGCCGAAGAGGTCCGGTAGGGAGGTCTGGCCTTGCCTCTCTGACTAGGTTGCCCTACGAGGCAGGTCTGTGCAGCTAGTTAGCTAGTTCGTAGGGAGAACAATCTAGCGACTCTAAGGCCATCGCAAAGGCCTTGGAGAGCCTGCCAGCCGGCGTTTGCCACAGGCACATCACCATCGTTACCAGGAACCAGTCGGCGCTGGCAGCGATCAGACAACCACGACAACAGTCCGGCTAAGGCATCATACGGCAAATATACGAGTTAGCAAGGCTGCATCGACGGAGAGGAAACTCGGTTGACTTCCTGTGGATACCAGCAGAAGCCAACTTCGCGTTGGGGTTGGAGGCCAAGGCGGCGGCGCAAAGGGCTGCAAGGCAAGGTGGCACACCCAACGTCCAAATGCCCCAGGCCAAGTCCACCGCAATCAGGCTGGCACTGGCGAAACAGCGACAGGAGAGAGCTCTTCCTGAAGGCGTGGGCAAGTTCTCAAAGGCTATGGACGTGGCACTACCTGGCAAGCACACTCGCGACCTCTATGATAAGCTGAAGCGAAGAGAGGCCTGTATCTTGGCACAACTCCGAACCGGAATGGCGAGGCTGAACGGCTTTCTGAGCAGGATTGGAGCGGTCGAGTCAGACTTCTGCCCCTGCGGCCAAGCGAGGGAAACAGTGGAGCATTTTCTGCTGCGATGCGTGAGATGGACAGCCCTGAGGGAAGACATGCTGCGATGTACAGTGACAAGACGAGGGAGCCTCTCATTCTACCTTGGAGGGAAAGCGCCATCGGATCCAAAGATGTGGTCGCCAGACATGAAAGCAGTCCGGGCAACGATCAAGTACGCAATGGCGACGGGGAGATTGGATGCAGACGAGGAACAACGGAGACTGTATCAGTCGCAATAGTGGAGCTCACTAACAGCACACAGCCTCAACCAGCAGATCCCGCTTTAGCTGCTGAAGATGGGACGCTGAACACTTGGAGAACGTAACCTCCAAGACGATCTGCTAACAATCAAGGCAAGAGAAGAGGCAAGAGGTATTGGGAAGCTTTGCGCAAAGGGCAACTCAAAGGGCTTGTGCGAGATCATGGGAGAAGCGGACGAATCGTATGTATGTATTTAGCGTGCCAAGGCCCTTTAGGCTTAGTGCCTCCGGGCGAAATCAAATCCATCCATCCTGTCACGGCGGGACAGGCGGACAATCCAATGACAATTGTATTCGGGCTAAACTACAGGCTAAGCTCTATTCCGTCAGGTACGGGCAGGCTTGATTGTCAAGACGTAGCTCGAGGAGCTACGAACAGATGTCGCGGCAGCGAGGTGCAGAATATTTAACCCACAGGGGCCCGTGCTTTCCACATGCCGGGTTCCACCCGTGGGTCCTAGCAGGCACGGCGCAATCGCCGTGACACCTTCCTTTCCATTGTCATCCGCAGAGATCGTATGGACACAAACACGTTAAGGCCCGCTGGCTCAGTGGCTTACTATAGTATAGGAAAGAACCTA